AGGCCTGGCATCAGTCAAGGCTGGATTCAAAGGCTTAAATAATTTTACACTACTGTCTTTTTGCCTCTCCTCTTCTTCCCACAGTCTCTTAGTTCTGCTTTCCTCTGTTGACCTCATTTTCAAAGAGACTCTTTCCTTGCTTTAGCAAAACTGTCTACATCAAGCTGCTATTCTACTTGCTTAGCAAACTTAGATAAAGAATGCCATTTTTCCAGTAGTAAGAGCAGAGGTCCCTGGACTGAGCCTGATTGTCCTGGCTGGCTGACTTCATGTGCATATCCTTGAACCAGTTGTGTTCCAGTACATAAAATTCCTCTGATTGGTTAGGCCTGAAGTGGAGAGTAGACTTAGTTTCATTCAAACCACATTGCTGAGAGACAGGGAGAGTGTATTAGTACATTTTCTGTTGTTCATAACAGAATACCTAAAACTGGATAATTTATAAGAAAATGAAATTTATTTCCAATAGTTTTGGATGCTGGAAAGTCCAAGGTCCAGGGGGCATATTTAGTGAGGGCCTTCTTGGTGGGTACTCTCTACAGAGTCCAGTGGCGATGCAGGGTGTCACATAGCGAGCACTGAGCAAGAGCACTTTTTACATGCTTTCTTCCTCTCTCTGTCAAGCCCCAACTCTAGTCTCTGATAACCCATTAAGCCATTAATCCACTAATGGATTAATCTACTCAAGATAGCATAGTCCTCCCAATCTAATCACCTATTAAAGGCCCTGTCTTTCAAATACCATATTAAGTTCCAACATGAGCTTAGAAGGGGACAGATATTCAAACTGTAGCAGAAGAGTTGTTTCCCAAAGGAAGATTAGAAGGGTGTTACAGAAGAATGAGTAATGACTGCTGGCTAGGCAGAACCCACAGATGTCCACTATGGTGACATTAGAGGAAAAAAACAAATACCTTAGCACAACAGATGCTTTCCTTCTTGCTTCTGCTGTCTTTGTCCATATGCAGACATTTTTATGGCTATAGTCATAGTACATGTACATTTAAAAATTTATTTTTTACTTGAAACTGTTGGAAACATTCTTTCAAGTTGCTATATAGACTTTACGGTCATCATTTTTAATGGCTATATAATATTCCGTCAATAGATGACCACTTCTTATTACTGAGCATCAGTGTTGATTTTAGTTTTTAATTGTTTTATGTAAATCTGCAGTGATTGCCTTTGTATATAGATCTTTTATTAATCCCTTGGCTTAAATTTCCCAGCAGTGAGATTATTCTTTAAAAGGCTTTGAACATTATTAATAGCTCTTGAACTTTATTGCTTTTTTTCTTTTTAAGCAGGGTCAATTTATGCTGTCCTCAGTGCTGTATCCTTGTATGCATATTATTGAAATATTTGATAGGTACAAACTGCTATTTTATTATGCTTGAATTTGCATTGATTTCATTGCTCCCAAGGTTGAATATGTGTGTTTATTTATTTTAAAATGTTTGTTTTCTAAAAAAACTT